TGCCCCCGTACCGGACCGGGGACTGGCAACGGGATTGCAACCCTCGGTGTTGCTCCCGTGCCTCGCTCAGCCAGTGAGCGGGAACCGGTCTGTATGTGGGATCCGAACCCTCGGGCGGGAGCGCCGCCGCGCTTCCCAAGCGGCACACTGTAGCAGTGTGCCACCGGGCAGGCCCCGAAGAATGTATATATTAATGGTAGGTACTGGGGCTGGCTGGTGAGCTCACCCAGTAGAGCATAGTGCTGATAAAACCAAGGTCAAGGGTTTGGATCCCCATACTGGCCAACCGGCTCTCCCCAAAATAGGAGGCACTAAGTCAGGTAAAACATAAGTAAAAAGAATAATTAAGACTATCTGTTTACAAGGTTCTGAAGCTTGTTTAGGTTTTAGAAAAACCCTCTGTATGGAAGGAAACCTTCCAAAATATATAAATTAATAGATATTTCCTGATTCAACAGTCCCATATATAGCAGATATAAAATAAAGAACACTAAGAGTGTCATCAAAAATATGGAATTGCTGACTAAATAAATAAAAAACGAGTTCATTTACAATATATAAAAACATGCAACATGAAAACAGCAGTGGATTAAACAAATGACATAGAATTAAAATAGAGATGCATTGTTCAACTTTATAAGCACCCTCTATAAGACACGTCAAAACCATATTTGTTATAGCTCTGAATGTACAATAAATTGAATAAAGGCTTAAACTCAGGTTTTTTGTTAAAGATTTGAATAAAGGTTTTCTTGTAAAAAATGAAAAATGGCTCACACACACAGGATGAAAAATGTGGCAAGAAAAATAGCCAAGCACCGCATGCATATGAGCCTGTGAACTTACTGTTCTTCCCAGGAGAAATTCCTACACCATTGACTGCTGGCTCAAATAAGATAATTATTAGTATATGGGATCAATATTGTCACAGTGCCCTTGACAGACACTTCTGATACCTCTCAAAAACTACAAAGATAGGCCGGCCCGTGGCTCACTTGGTAGAGTGCGGTGCTGATAACACCAAGGCCACGGGTTCGGATCCTATATAGGGATGGCCGGTTTGCTCACTGGCTGAGCGTGGTGCTGACAACACCAGGCCAAGGGTTGAGATCCCCTTACCGGTCATCCTTTAAAAAAAAAAAAAAAACTACAAAGATAACTGAAAACACTTATCAGACAGGTTCACTGACACTTCTTATATCAGTATCCTGGGACATGTTGACAATTCTACTTAGTGGCTTCAAGGGGCATATCTGTATGTAGCAGAATGATATCCAAACATATTAGTCAAAGTGTTCTCCTTCATGAATTTTCTCTCACCCATTAAACTCATTCCATAGGACAGAGCACAATACATTGTACACAGCGTAAATGGAGGTTATCACAACAGAAAAGTAAGATGACATGTCAGACCCTAAGGATATGTAAATCAAAAACAAGTTTCTGAGGCAAAATCACATAAATGGAAGATAATACAAAATCAGAAAGAGCCAAGGTTTTCTATATTCACAGAGTAGTAATGGTGGTGAAAGAAAGGGAAAGATACAGCATATGGGGGTCAGATTTTCTGGGATCTTGACTTGGGACTCTGTGCTCCACACAAAGATCCCATGCTAGCAGATGGAAAGCTCCCCATCTAAAACTGAGACATGCTCCCCATCTAAAACTGGGAATCAAAGAGTTGATGTTTCTGTCAACTAACTTTACAGTTCTACTGAGTAACAATCCCAGAGGACCCAATCCCCTCCCATCACACACACCTGTGAAGGATGACAAAAGCAGATCAGAAGAATGCTGATACCTCAGCAGGCAGAGAAGATGGGAGACAGATCCATGAGATTTCTGGGGCCCCAGATGCAAAGAAAGAATAACTAGGTCTTCCAAGAACAACAAATAAAATGGAAACATGAAAAGGTCTAGGTGTCAGAACTACGGAGGCCTCAGCTCTCATCAACATGGACTGAGAACTGAGCATCACATGGAATCAAATACTGAAGGAGAGACCAAGGGGGAAAAGGCCCTTTTGAAATGGCCCTCCCCATGCCACTCAGTCAAGGAACCAGGGAGTTCAGAGAAGCCAGATCTACAGAGCTGCAGATCATAATCAAGACTCTGCATTTGTCTCTGAGCTGCAGTACCACCGAAGGGTGGGAGGACAAACCTTTCACACATCTAAAGAACAGTGATAAGTGAGGGCAAAAATTTCCATTTAGAGCTCCATTTAGAATATAAACTTCTTTTCCCCACAAACCTCTCTCCTACTTGCAGAGTTTCTCAAACTATTTAATGGTGGGGCTTCCTGCTATGGGCTAAACGTGTCCCTCAAAAATTTACATATTAGAAACTTAATCTCTACTGTAACAGTGTTAAGAGGGTGAGAAATCCAATTATGGTAATTGAAAGGTGGGGTCTTTAAGAGGCGATGAGACTGTGAGGACAGTGAATGGATTAATCCATTGATGGTTTAAGGGGTGGTCATGGGCGTGGTTATGATGCTGTTATTAGAAGAGCAAATGAGATGATCAGCTCTCACTCGCTCAGCCCATTCTCCCCATGTGACAACCTGCACTGCTGCGGAGAGTCACCACCAAGGAAAAGGCCCTCACCAGATGTGTTCCCTGGACTTTGGACTTCCCAGCCTTCAAAATTGTAAGAAATAAATTTCATTTCTTCATAAATTACCCAGTTTCAGGTATTCTGTTATAAGCAACAGAAACGGACTAGTACACTTCCTCTCCGGCCATCTGAGCTTTTAACCTGTGTTCACACCTTTGATCTGTTCCCACTCATTGCTTTTCTTAATTTTACCTGACTTTCCACAGTCCAGGGTCCTTTCCCTTGCTTCAACATAGAGAGAATACTCAAGTCAAAAAGAGACTTGTGCTTATAAAAATGAAGAAATATCAAGTGCTGTGGCTTTTCCAGAATCCCAACCATATGTTTACTTGAGGAGAGAAGACATTACAGATGGATATAGAAAAATACTTCACAAACTCACCCGATTGCCTTCTTTTAAATGCTTAAGAAACACTGCAATATGTAGATACCTTGCAAGAACTACTGAGTCCAAGCACAGAAGTAGAAAAGAGGGAGTTGGATATTTTAAAAGTCTGCCATAACGTTTTATGCATACACAAGCTCTGAAACTACCCAATGATGCATCATGAAGGGGACTGAACATCTGCAGAAAGGAGATGGTTAAAGTGTAGATGCTATATTATGAAGCTTTTCATTTCTCATTCAATAGGGCTTCAATCTCACTTAAGCAATGCATGGGTTCCCAAGAGACTAAAGGTAGGAAAAATGTAAAGATACACATGAACAGATACTGATTTCTGGAAGGAAGTTATCCTCACCCAGGGAGACCAGGTTCCTGTAGTTCTCCAACATCACGTCCCTGTACAAAGCCCTCTGAGCAGGGTCCAGGCATTTCCACTCCTCCTGAGAGAATTCTATGGCCACATCCTTGAATGACAACCGTCCCTAAAACAAAAAACACATTTTACCAAGTGGCTAAGGGGAGAGTTAAAATCTTCACATAAAATGAGGAGAAAGCTATAAAGAGAGATTTGATTTAAGTGAGCATGATGACAGATTCACGTTGTGATACTGTGAAATATACATTTGGTATTCTTCCCCCTTTCCTGAAATACAACTCACTTGGAATCTCTGGAGTAATAAGTATCTTGTGTGTGTGCGCAGCTGGCTGGTGCAGGGGTCCGAATCCTTGACCTTGGTGTTATAACACCCCACTCCAACCAACTGAGCTAACCAGCCAGCCCTGGTATCTTTTTTTTATGGTAATGAGATAACTGGTAGCTGGAGGACAACCTCAAGATAGGACCTGGTCACTACAAAGACTGAGGCAAAATTAGAGGGTTGGGACATTCACCCCATCCTCTTGGGAGGGGAAACGGGTTGATGACGTGATGTCATCAATCACGCCTACATAATGAAGCCCTCCATAAAAACCAGAAGGACAGGGTTTGCAAAAGATTACAGATAGCTGAACACGTAGATGGAGGTGTCTGGATAATAGTGTGGCCACGGACGTCACGGAAGCTCTTTGCCCGTTCTCCCATACTTCACCCAACGCTTTGCTTCCATCTGGTTGTTCATCTATATCCCTATTTCTCTGAGTGCTGTGAGCTGCCCTAGCAAAGTAATCCAATATGAAGATGAGGACTTGGGAATCCAAATTTATAGCAGGTAAGTGAGTGCAGGACAAAAACTATGCTTATAGGCTGGCCCGTGGCTCACTTGGTAGAGTGCGGTGCTGATAACACCAAGGCCACGGGTTCGGATCCTATATAGGGATGGCCGGTTTGCTCACTGGCTGAGCCTGGTGCTGACAACACCAAGCCAAGGGTTGAGATCCCCTTACCGGTCATCTTTAAAAAAAAAAAAACAAAAAACTATGCTTATGACTGAAACTATGTATCTGACATGGGGGGGAATTCTTGTGGGACTGAGACCTCAACATGTATGTTCTGAGCCTATCTGCAGGTAGATACTTTCAGATTTTAATTGAATTACAAGACACCCAGCTGGTGTCCACTTAAGTATTGTTTCCTTGGTGCTCAAAAAAAAAAAAAAATCACACTCATAGGGATCACAGAAGCATTCCATGTTGTGAGAAGATAGTAGGAGAGACTGAGTTTGTTTTTCCTATATTTGCACACATGTTAAGATATTGTTGAGCAAGTTATATCTCCCTATTTCTGTTTTATTATACTTCTCCTAAGACGTTATACTATCTTCCAAATTAATGTGGATTTTTTGGTTCTGTGAATATAAGAAAGATACGAATAAAAAAATAGCACAGGGTTATTTCAATAGAAGTGTTAGATATAATGTCAGACACACCAAGTGATATTCAGTATCTAGATGAGCTAGAGCATGAGGGGTGTCTTCAGAGATGACAAAGTCCACAGTGGCTTTAAAGAAAGAGAGGTCAGAATCTAAAAACTGTGATGACAGCCATAGCATTTTGAACACTTCCCATTAGGCAGGCATTATTTTATATGCTTCCCAAGTGGTAATTCGTATAACACAGCAACCCTTGAAAGAAAAATCGGTTCCCATCTTACTTAAGAAACAACTGTGTCACAGATGCTCTAAGAAATTCATTTCAGGCCAAAGAGTTAAAAACGGCAAAGCAAGCACCTGAACACAGGTGTCTGGAAATGAAAATGGAACCTAAAGAAACAGACAGTTAAGTAAGAGATACAGCATCAAATATAAATCGATGGTACATTATCTAATTGAGAAAAGCTGAAACAAGTTCAAGGATAACAAAATGCAACTGCATAAAAGGACACTACATATGCACACTCTCCTGGATGTCCATAATATATTACTATTCTCACTATCAATGAGATTAACACGATAGTATAGAACAAATGTGAGGACATGAAAGTTATTTAATACATAACTTTGCTAAAAAATGTTAAACTTTTAAATTATAAAAAACTATTTTAAAGTGTAAAACATTAGATGTAAATAAAACAGACCATATTGTAACCGTGCCTGAAGGGAGGACTTCCAAAGCAAGATGTAACAAACAAACAAACACAAAATAAAAGGCAGGGGCATTAAAAAAAAAGATTTACATCCCACACTAAGAAAATGTATAGCCTTAAAGGATGACAACAGGGCATATATATATATATAATTAAACTGCAGAACATAAAATATCTACTAAAATAAAAAGAAAATTGAGCAAAGTATGAAAATACATTTTATATAAACACATCCAACGAAGTAAAGAAACCTACTAAACCTTACAACAAATGAGAAAATGAAAATACAAAGGGTTGTCATTTTCCTCAGATTTTCAAAATATAAAAACAACAAAGAAGCAAGTTTTGTTTAAATCAGGGGGAAATCTCATATGTTGTTGCTGGGAGTGGGTTCCTTTGCGGATGTAGGTAAGCACAAAGTCTTGCCAACTCTCTAAAATAGAAAATGTGCCTTCCTAGAAGAATCAACCAACCTTTCAGTTCCTCAACCTGGAGGAACCCCTCAAACATGTGTACTGAAGATAACAAGCTCAGAGTTCTGGTGAAGATGGCAGAATAGATGGCTCCCAGCGTCACTTTCTCCCACAAATCAACCAATTTACAACTATAAAAATGTAACATCAGCCAAGCTGGGGCCGCTGGATCTCAGGGGAAGAGGAGGAGAGACCTATGGAAATCATGAAGGTGGGAGAAACCATGATGAGAGAAAGAAAAAATTGTTCTGAGAGTTTTGTGCCATGGCCGCCTTAAAGCTCAAACTGCTGAGCCCATGAAGCAGGAGCCGGCAGAAGCTGCAGCTGTGCCCTTCGGATGGAGTTACTTGGAAGCAGCAGGGGAGAAGAGGGCCTTGGCGGCCCCCAGGACACCAAGACGACTGCTAGGGTTTCTGTGGACCCACACAGAATCAAGGAGCCAGAACAGCTGAAAAGGGGGAGCCATTCAGATGCCGGTGAATCATCACTAGAGACCAGCGCAGGGCCCGTCTCATGAGAAGTGTTTGGAGCATGGGTGGTGAGGGAGACATGCCCACCAGGAGAACACAGGGACACAGCAAGGACAGCTGATATGCCCCCCAATCAGCGCAGGACCACTCACAGGAGACTGGTTGGGAATGCAGAATTGCATGGGGTGCAGTTTGATGAAAAACCTCAGGCCCAAACCTGAGCTTCTACACAACACAGATCCACCGGGTCTCTGGAGAACCAGAAGTACCTATAAGGTCAACCATTAAACTCTGAGCTGCACAAAAAGCCTTCCCTAGGGAAACAGCAGTAAAGCAGCAATTTAACTTAACCACACAGCTCAAGTACTGGTTCCCACTGGAAGTTCCCCCATTTTAGAAGTAAGCAAAGGACAAAAAATTAGTTCCAGCACAGGCACACCACCAGCAGCCTCGGGGCCCAACCAGGGATTCCAGACCCCCCTCCCACAACAAGGCACACTGCCAGTGCCAAGGAGCTTGCCAAACATATCACCTCCATGTGGGTGGCCCACCACAGCCACCACAATAACCATGGCTGCTGCAAAAGCAGCTAGATGCCACCACCACCACACAGATGGTTCTCTAACCACTGGAGTGCATTGACACAAGGAGAGTCACTGGCAGAGATAAAGAAGAGAATGTTTCTCTCCACAAAGCCCATTTCAGAGTGACAGAAGAAGCATCTGCTCTATGATAATACTGGAGGACCTGATCACACCTCTCAGCATTGGACAGATCATCTAGGCAATAAATCAACAGAGTAACCGTTATTCTTTCAGAAGGAGAGAAAAAATGTAGGGTAATTCGAGGGGGGATGGGGAGAGATTGGACAAGGGGCATAAAGAATAATTACGATTTAAAAAAAAAAAGAATAATTACGATTTGTAATATATATGCTAGCAATATTGATTTTTTTTTTTTTTTTTTTTACATAAAGATGACTGGTAAGGAGATCTTAACCCTTGACTTGGTGTTGTCAGCACCACGCTCAGCCAGTGAGCAAACCGGCCATCCCTATGTGGGATTCGAACCTGGGGCCTTGGTGTTATCAGCACTGCACTCTCCCAAGTGAGCCACGGGCCGGCCCTAGCAATATTGATTTGATCAACATATCTCTATGTTGAACCCCAAAAATATGTATAATCAATTTTGATTCAATAAAAAAATAAATTAAGACAAAAAACCAAAACAAGATAGCAAGCTCAGAGGCAGCTACCTTGACATTCTATATAAGGAAAAATTATAAAAGACCCATGAATCTTCATTCAGAAAATGCTCCAATGAGGATGTAAAATAGGAAGGTATCCATGTTTCCTAACATAAAAAAATGCACATTTTCAAAACTTGCAGGATAAAATAATCACAACAAAACATTCACTGAACAAGTTTTTACAAAACATCATAACTATATGTAAATACATTTGTACAGGAGTTGTGATGTGTTTTGCCACACAAATGCCAACAGTGATTCTGCACTGAGACGTGGGGAGGGTGAACATGACAAGGATTAGGACGCTTTATATCTTAGTGTCTGGTTAGACTGCAACCTTCTTTTTTTTTTTTTTTAAAGATGACGGTAAGGGGATCTTAACCCTTGACTTGGTGTTGTCAGCACCATGCTCAACCAGTGAGCAAGCCAGCCATCCCCACATAGGATCCGAACCCATGGCCTTGGTGTTATCAGCACTGCACTCTTCCTAGTGAGCCTCGGGCTAGTCCAGAGTGCAACCTTCTAACACGAAGGTCAAGGGTTAAGATCCCTCGAGGCCGGCCTGTGGCTCACTCGGGAGAGTGCGGTGCTTATAACACCAAGGCCATAGGTTCGGATCCCATATAGGGATGGCCGGTTTGCTCACTGGCTGAGCATGGTGCTGACAACACCAAGTCAAGGGTTAAGATCCCCTTACCGGTCATCTTTTAAAAAAAAAAAAGGGTTAAGATCCCTGCACTGGCTAGCCACCAAAAAAAAACTGGACCTTTACTATAAAATAAATCTATACATATTGTGATGTGTAAAATAAAATAAACAGAATGTTTAATAATAATAGGTGGAAGAAGAATATGGTTTCATCCTATTTAATGTCAAGGAAATTCTGCTTATTCTGAGCAACATTACAGCCACTTTGACCTAAACACCTGCTGCACAAGAGTCCCTGCAGGAACACCAGTCTCCATGGTATGGATATACTGAGAATGGTTTAATTAATCTCCTCCTGTTAGAGCTTTAGGTTGATATGATATCATAAAATTGATGATGAAATACAACAGCCTCTTTCACTGATGTCTGTGTGTAAATTTTTCATTCCATTCCCATTCATTAAGAGTTTGGAGTCAGAGACAAACTGACTCACTAGTTCAGCTTTGAATGCATTACAAAATCAGGCACAAAAAATTTCTTCTTACTGGTCTCCTTTTCCAAAATTTAGCAGTTACTTCTTCATTTTTGTTTGTTTGGTTTTTTGTTTCTGTGGCGGCTGGCCTATCCAGGAATCCAAACCCTTGACCTTGGTGTTATCAACACCATGCTCTTCCAAGTGAGCTAACTGGCCAGTCACATTAATATGTGACTTCTGACAGGCAGATTAGCTCAGGTGGTTAGAGCACAGTGTTGTAACACCAAGGTCCAGGGTTCAGATCTCCTCCATACCAGCCAGCTGCCAAAAAATAAAAAACAAAATAATATGTGACTTCCACATGCAGATCCTCTAATCCTGGTCAACAGAAGGCTGACAATGCATCCAGATGTGGCCTCTAAACAATCCCTGCTGCCCAACAGCACTGACCCCATGGGGCCTACTCTCCGTCTCCAATCTATGCCTGGGAGTGAAGCCCTTCCCAGGACCATGCCCAGTGGAACCTCTTTACAAGTTCATGTCATTGGGTCACTATGAGATTAAATCTAAGTGGAGATAAGAGGGACCGAGGGAAGGCATGGGTAAGTGCGAGCAAACAGGTCAGGCAGGAAACTTCAGAGTCACAGAAGATCAACTCCAATGCCCACACGTCAGAAAGGAAGGACACAGAACAATCCACTGAGAAGATCACTTTACCTGAATAGGAGCCATTCCTGGCTCCTTTTCTTTCCTCTTCCTCCTCTTCTTCTCTTCTTCCCTTGGATAATGTAAAACAGTCTTTAGAAGTTGATACCGAATGTCAAAAATATGTTGTTCAGTGCTTAGATTCAACACACCCCCTTCCTGTGCCACAACCACACACTCAGAGAAGACGTTATCATGTGGAAAGACCATCCTCTGCTGCCTACTGTACCAGAGGGATGCAGGGATGATAAATTCCTACAGGAAGGCCAATATGTGAGTTTCAACCCCTTTCTTCAGAACTTGCTCCCCTCCTGGTGAATCCCCCACACACGCTGCAGCAATGGGGAGCTGGGCTGGACAGAGCTCCCTTTCAGGAGCTCTGACCAAACCCCGTGTAAAACACAGTTCTCCTCACTCCTCCATGGATCACAGGGTCATCTCAGCCTTCCGAAACAAAGGTCACAGAGCTTTGGTGCTCAATGCTGGATCCAGATTAGAATCAACTTTAAATACTTTTAAGACTGGTCCCAACTTGACAGTGGGAATGGGAATCTCTGGTAAAGGGGCACAAGAGATGTTTTGCAAAATATCTCATGACTCTAATGTGAAGCCAGGATTGAGCAATACTCAGAGGGGCAAACCCAGCACACCTGCCACCTTCTGGCTCTGCTCTCCCCTTGGGGCCTTGCTGTCACCACTATCTAGACAGTGGAAGGAACAAAAACTAACATGGAAAGCAGACAATATGGACAAGAGGTGAGGGTGAGGGTGTGGCTGGGATGTTAGTTGGAGGATTTGGGGGTGTCATAGAAGTCTCCACTGAGAAGGTGATATCACAGTAAAGACCCAGGGAAGGATGGGTGTTTGCCACCTGCAGCTGAGGGGCCAGAGTTCTAGGTCGAGGGACAGCCCCAGTGTAGGCCCTGAAGCAGGAGCAACTTTGGCCCCAGGAAAAGGGCAGAGGCCTGTGTGGCTGGAGCAGAGTGAGCGAGGACACAAGCAGCAGATGAGGTCACAGGTCCTGGGGGAAGCACGTCAGCCAGGGCTGAGGTCTCCAAACCTTTCCCTCCCCCACCTGAGAAGAATTTTGGAAAGAACGTATTTCCTCACCCATTTTAAGTAAACATGTAATTTTTTCTTTATTCTATAAACTAAAACACTTACAAATAATATAATATCTTCTATATTTTAAATATATCTGGTAATGTTCAACTAAGCCCCAAGAAATCCAGGGCCACCCTTACCTGAGATGTAGAGGACTGCAGGGTGAATGCCTTTGGGGGAGCTCAGAAGTCACTTCTGTGCATATGCAGGAGGAGATGTCTGTTAGATGTCCCAGCAGATAGTAGAGGAGTCAACCGGACACAGGATTCTAGAAGTCAGAGGAGAGGCTTCTAGGGGAAATGCAGACAGGTAGGTGGTGTTTAAAGGCATGAGATGAGATGATAAGGAAAGGCAGTGGATGTAGTTGGAGAGAAGAGGTTTAAGAACTAAGCCATGAAATTCTCCCACGTTAAAAGAACGAGGAGTTTAAGAAACACTAGAATAGGAAAGTGCAAAGTGATTAGGGGGGTGACAAGAAAAGTAAAACAAATAGATTTTTAAGGCTAGTGGGATATCCCCAAAGCCAAAAAAAAAAAAAAAAAAGGAGTGATCAATTATGCAACATGATGCTGATAGAAAAGGAAAGATAAGGAAAGGAAATCAAATACTGGATTTAGAAATGGGGAAGTCACTGGTAATTCTGAAGACGAAAGGATCAGTGGAATGCTGGATGTGAAAACCTGATTGGAAGGTTTCATGGGAGAATGGGAGGCAAGAACCAAAGACAGAGTCAAAACAAGTTTTTAATGCATTGTGCTATTCAATGGAACATAGAAGAGGGGTGCTTACTACTAAGAGAAATGTAATTAAGAAAGTATTTTTTGTTTTAAAGATGGAATAGTGAGAAAAAGAAAAGGCTTTATTCTGTGTGTGCTTTAGCGGATGATACCACCATCTGGGCACACTGACCAAAATAATTCCCTTGAAGTAAAAATTAATGACAGAGTGGATGCCATACTGTCTTGAGACTGTGAGTGGGGTGGCAAGTGGTGCACAATTGCAGGATCAGCAACAGCCAGGAACAAGGACAGACCATTCCCAGTCAATACCGAGTAGAGAACACAGGCCTTGAGGCAGGTGCGTAGGCCAGTTGAAAAAGATCACTTCCTCTTACTGTTTGAAATAGGGGAAAAAACAAACTATTTTTTACTACTCTCACTAAACAGTATACTTCACCTCTAGTCACCAAAATGTGTGTGGTTTTTCCACACTGACCAATTCTCCAGAGATCTCCCAGCTGTGTGTCCTACAGTTTAACTCAGTTCTGACACTATCAAGGTACACTACAAGGTAGCATCACTTTTCTCTGGCTAAAGGCTCAGTCCCATGAGACTGCCCCTCACTTCAGATGCCACACCCAAGTAGTACTTGCCACCTATGCTTCTGACTGGCTGGATAAATATCCTGGCTCCCATAACCCCCTCCTCGGGTTAGATTAATTTGCTAGGATGCCTCTTCCATCTGGCTGTTCACCTGTAATATCCTTTACAACAAATGGGTAAACATAAGTAGAGTGTTTCCCTGAGTTCTGTGAGTCTCCCTAGAAAATTAATAGAATCTGAGGAGGTGGTCATGGGGATCCCTGATTTATAGCAAGTTTGTCGGAAGTTCAGTTCCCAACCTAGGAAATGAGGAATCCAAAGTAGAAAGAGTCTCATGTAACTGAGCCCTCAACCTGTGGGATCTGGTGTTACCTTCAGGAAGACAGTGTCAGAATTGAGTTAAATTATAGGACATCCAGTTCCTATCCGATATGGAATTGCCTGTTAGTGGAAAGAAAGAAATCCCCCATTTTGGTGGCCAGAGTTGAAGGATTCTGTGTTGTAGTGAGTGTAACCCCTCACACCCTATCCTACACCCTACCCCATCCCAGGAAAAAGGAAGAGGGTGACCCACAGATGAATGTGTGGAGTCACTGCCCTCTGGATGAATAAGGATTGCAAATGGAAGCTAGCCTCTGATGCCAAGAACTATAAAACGCAGATGCTTTATAGACAGGAGTTTTGCAATTCTCATTCTCATTTGCAAAATGTAAACAAATTTTGTATGTTAGATTATAAAGACAGTAATCAAGATATCACAACATAGCCATCCATTCCCATCAACTCACCACTCATCTAGACCTCCATCTCAATTTTGAGATTCACCCATATCAAAAATGAGTATGACTCATTTCCGCTTTCTCTCTCTAGTTTTTTTTTTCCTCTCCTGTGTTTTCCCTTGGTTTCTCTTCTTTCTTGTGCCCCTTGCCTCTCCTGCTGTTTCTCCCCTCCTTCGTCTATTGTTTGTCTTACACCTGCTCTGCTACATTCTTTTGATTTGTATGGTCTTTTGTTCTTTCTCCCCAAATCTTTTTTTTTGTATGTGAGTGTGTGGCTGGCCAGTACTGGGATCTGAACCCTTGACTTTGGTGTCACCAGAAGCACATTCTAACCATCTGAGCTAACAGCCAGCCTTCTTCCCAGTCTTTTGACTGCCCCCAATTTCATACTTCTGCCTCTTCCTTCCCCCATCTCTGCTCCCACTCTGCTCCCCCTGTTAAATTCCCTCTTCCCTGTTACATCTACTTGCCTCCACTCTCTGGCACCCCCAGATCCTGTTTCCACCTGCTCTCGTTGTCACCAGTTGCCCCTCACGTTGTCCCAGCACCTCCTTGCTCTGTCTGCCATGGCTCCAAATCTTTATCCTCTCCTCCCATTCTCTGTCTAAAGTGCCCCCCACCCCCTTGCTGCCCCCTCTCCCTATTTTGCTGTCCTTTATCTCTCTGGAGATCGAGCTTTTCTCTAAATTTCTCTAGTTGATTTTCTCTCCCTGCTACTTTCTCGGCTTCTTTTCCACTCGTACTGTCTCTGCAAATGCCTCGCCCCTCCCCTACTTTGACATCTGTTCATGGTTTCCCTTCATTGCTTTTTCTTGGTTTTCCGATTTCCTCTCAGTTGCTCTGTCCTGCTTCCTCCTGATCCCCTTTCCCCACACATTTAGAGGGAGGGAGATGGAATAAGACGCCCGTCTCTCGGAAGAGCACATTTTCCAGCGGGGTGGAATTTGGGATGGAACAACACTGGATGTCACAAGACAGGCCCAAGTCACCTCCCACAAGGCGGGGTCGGGGAAGCGGTGACTGCGAAGAGGCCTGGGGAGCAGAAGGGCCCGGCCCAAGGAGGACAAGGGGGGCGTGGGTTAGCAGAGTGGTGGGGTCGGCAGCAGCCCAGCTCCGGGGAGAGGACGCGGCCTCTCCAGAATTGGGACGGCCGGCGCTGCCCTCCAGTTGCCGAGAAGGGGCGACGGTTGGGGACAGGAAGGGCGTGAATCCCCCCTAAGGGTGAGGACTTCACACGGCACGGGGCGGGCGGAGATTCAGTGAAGAGTTTTAAATAGCAAAATGGTGCGTAAGGAGGAGTCTACATGGCCTGAACGCAGAAACACCGGCGGAGGACCAGCCTCAGAGCCGTTATAACGAAAGGGAAGCGACCCCCCCCCCCCCCCCCCCCC